CATACACACATACATGCATACATACACACATACTTGCATACATACCTAAATACACACACATACACCCACATACTTACACTGCTACAATTGCATACACACATCCACAAACATGCATACATACACACATACATGCATACATACACACATACTTGCATACATACCTAAATACACACACATACACCCACATACTTACACTGCTACAATTGCATACACACATCCACAAACATGCATACATACACACATACATGCATACATACACACATACTTGCATACATACCTAAATACACACACATACACCCACATACTTACACTGCTACAATTGCATACACACATCCACAAACATGCATACATACACACATACATGCATACATACACACATACTTGCATACATACCTAAATACACACACATACACCCACATACTTACACTGCTACAATTGCATACACACATCCACAAACATGCATACATACACACATACATGCATACATACACACATACTTGCATACATACCTAAATACACACACATACACCCACATACTTACACTGCTACAATTGCATACACACATCCACAAACATGCATACATACACACATACATGCATACATACACACATACATGCAAACATACCTAAATAAACACACATACACCCACATACTTACACTGCTACAATTGCATACACACATCCACAAACATGCATACATACACACATACATGCATACATACACACAAACATGCACGCATACACACATACATGCATACATACACACAAACATGCATACATACACACATACATGCATACATACACACAAACATGCATACATACACCCCCACAGGACAAGCAACAAGGACAGGCCCTATTCTATTTGTTACCTAGGCAGTTCATTATAGCAGCAGTAGCAGTAGTAGCAGAATAGTAGTAGTTTCTGTGGTTAGCTGAGTGGTTTCTCATACAGGAGACCCGGGGTCGACTACCGGTAAGGTGATGAAGTATTTCTGTCAGGAGCAAAATTAAAAAAAATTCTAGCTTGAACAGTCCATGGCGACCGAACTAGTCATGCATCCCTTAATCCTCAGGCTGACGACTCCCTGTCTACACCGACCTAAAAAGGTGGTAAGACAGAGTGACAATTTTTTTTAGTTGTTGTGGTGCTGGGCATGGTAGTAGTAGTAGCAGTACTCAAAGGGTGATGTAAATATTTCACTGGTCACATTTACTTCTCATTACAAATCCTGCTACCCGTTTTAGTCTGAGTGGATACGGATGCCAAAGTCGGTTTAAACAAAATATCGCCAGTTAAAGAATATCTGATCCTTCGGAGAGGGAGAGAGGAGTAATCAGCGGATTGTTAATGGGGACGGGGTGGTAATGACAGAAACTGATAACTGAGAGAGCTTTAAACATGATTTTAAAGATAAAATGTTATTAGTTATATTTTAATAACTCTACCCCACCCATTTTGATGTTCATAATTTTTGTGTGTGGCTTATTTTATTGTTATTTTGAAGTACAGTAGTAATCTTTACTTTCAGCTGTTTAAAAAATTGTTTAGCATGTGATAAACAAAAAACAATTTTTAAATGTCTTATTAATACAGTTTAAACGACCACTAATATAAAGACACAATTAATATTCTATATTCGGCAACAAAATTATCTCTATATTTGCACAGATAATGACTGCGAAATTAACAGTATTAGAATCGCAAGCGCATTTTTATTCTCTTTCTTTTCCATGTAGCCAGACTGAGCCACAGTAACGCGTTGCCGGGTACAGCTAGTTATCAAATATAAATAGGAACTAGAGTAAGATTTTTTAACAGCTGCTCTTTTCTGGGAGTTTGGAGAAAAAAGGAAGAGGAATATAACAAAGAATGAGCGGAAGAATAGGAGTAGGACGAAGAAGGAGCGGAATACGAAGCAGAAAAGGAGGAGGACGTGGAGAAAGAAGACGAAGAAAAAAAGATGACGATAATGATGGTAATGATGATGAGCAGGCGGAGGATGCTGTGAAAGATGAAAAAGGGAGGAATGTATTTTCTCACCCCCTCCCCCCCCCCGTGTTTTTGTTCACCCCGCCCCCCCCCCTCCCCCCCTTTTCCACCGTGTTCTTCTGTTCCTTATAATTACCTGCCCTTTTAAAGACAAAAGTAAGTAATAAAATAGTCAAGAAGTTTGGGGTCTGGGAAAAACGACAAGAGACCCACTGCCTCCCCAACAAGCATGTCGTAGAGTGGACTAATTCGGGGCATCCTTCGAAGTCCTAGCACTTCTGCCTGAGAGGCAAGAGAAACCAACAGTCTGCATACAAATAATCTAGATCTGAAAGAACAGATGTACACGTAACAATCAAGTTTGGGAACAAGCCTAACTTTTGGAGGTGGATGAACAACCACAACTTTCCGCCGGAGTTTACAACCGTTGAACAAGAAAAGTAAATAAATTAAGGGAAACTTGGATGCGTTTGTGAAAAGAATAATGAGAAAATCATGAACAAAGACAGAAACAAACTTTAGACCAGGAACCGAAACAAAACAATCGTTTAACAATCTAAGTTTTTAAGTGTTACACATACTGCCACTGTAGATCAATCCGAGTGCATAACTTAAACATTATGCCGGTCATAATATTTTTGCTTTATTCACACAGAAGGTCTTGTTTGTTTAGCCATTTTCTGCAGCCAGTTTAATCGCTCCCACGGTTTTGAATGTGTTATACACGGTCTTTTTTATACAGGAATTTCATATGGTACACATTGATTCTCTTGCACACACGGCATTGTTGGAACATTCTACAATAAGCCGGTGTCACTATAAAGTAGGCTGAGGGTCGATGTGTCTAGAGAACTACATGGAAGGATTAAACAGTAGGGCTTCCCTACGTAGGTTCCGGGGCCTCATTGTGTGCGTGTGTATGTGTGTGTTGGGGGAGGGGTGGGTGGGTGGAGTATACCCACTGCTCTCTAACAAGCTTGTCGTAAAAGGCGACTAATAGGGATGTTTTCTTTAAAGTCAGAGTGCATCTGCCCAAGAGACAAGGAATCAACAGTAAACATACAGATAAGCCAAATACGTGAAACGCATGTTCACGCCACTCTCCAGTTCTGGAGCAAGACAAGTCAATATTTATAGGCAGACCTACAAACGGGTGGTATCGGCAGCAAAGAACTTCGGAGGCTCAGAAAGAAGAAGAAGAGAAAGAAGAAGAAGAAGAAGAAGAAGATGAAGAAGAAGAAGAAGAAGAAGAAGAAGAAGAAGAAGAAAGAAGAAGAAGAAGAAACAGAAAATGAAGAAGACGACGACGTTGCATTCCTGAGACACAATTCAATTCAAATTCTCTTTCGTTGACCACTTTCAGCTAGGTTCCTGAGACACACGTCATTTTGATACTATAAGCACCCAAGGCGTGGCTCTCTAATCTCTGAAAACAGATAGTATCACCATGACCTACTTTCTGTCTTGTAGATGTTATAGCAAGTATCCGATGCCCGTTTTCCTGTACTTGTTAAATAGTTATATATTCGAAGATTTCAAAGACATGTTTTTTGTTTGTTTGAGGGTAAGGAATAATAGTTTACTTACAATACACAAAATCTGGTTAAACAAAATACTGTGTGTCATTTAAAAGCAAAAGGCAGAAAGAACAGTGTTCCTCTTTGAACCTTGTTCAGGCGATGCGGAAATACGAGGACACGAATGAGCTGATTTGTTGGCTGGAAAAGCGTTGGCTGGTAACAATGCCTAGACACTAGACTGTGCACCGGAATGTCTTGGGTTTGAATCTAGGGTTCCCATTGATAGAGGACTCCCATTTAGGTATTGTTTAAAAAAGGGTACCAAGTAGGAAGAATTATGCACGAATGAGTGAACGAACCAACCAAAAATTTACATCTCTGCACTCGGGACTTCTCACACGTGCTCCGTCCCCTTCTTCAGTAGGAGACGAAGAGTCGACATGTCAGTAGTACCACTTTCAACCTGATTAAATGTCCGCCTATATTTCCCACTCACTGTTTAATATCTCCCAGAACATTCACCTACCCACGGCCAGTTGTGGCCTTACTGAAAGTTGTTTCATTCACCCTAATTCAATTGATTTTATCATAAGCCCGAGATAATGACGTCACTGTCAGTTACCAAACGAGCGCCTAGGCCTCTCCCTATTATAGTCTTTCAATATATAGATTCTCTATCTGTTTGTCCTGTTGCGTTGTCCATTTGTATATCACAGCTGTGTGTCACAGGTAGGAAGCAAAGATGGCTACAGTGATACTAACCGCATCACTTACCCAGCTTCCACTGGTCTATACAGTACTGGGTTTAGCACTATAGGCTTCATGTTTCAGTGGGCAGAAATAGGTCTTGTACTCGATGTACAGTAAAAACTATCGTTCTTCTTTCTTTTCTCCTCCTCTTCATCCTTCTTCTGCTGCTTGCCTTTTATTATCTCCCGTTCAGACCGAATCACAAGCCCTCAGTCAACTCACACTGAGTCGACTATTTTTCTGTATTTTTTTTCTCTCCACGCTTTTTCTTTTTCTGTGCCCGGGCAGCTATGTAAACAATACAACCACCGGGTAAACCAGTAACACGACGGAACGTAGACATCCGAGAACTTTAAAGAAGAAGAAGAAGAAGAAGACAAAGAAGAAGAAGAAGACGACGAAGAAGAAAGAAAGACAGGAAAAAAAAAAAGACAAGACAGACAAACAGACAGACAAAGGAGGTGGAGGAGGAGGAGATGGTGGAGATGCATCAGGGGGAGGGAGAGACCGGACGGCTGTGTGGCTTACTGGGGTAGTTTCCCAAGGCAATTCTCACAGTTGACCACGGATCGAACCCCACGGTAAGTGGTTAAGAGCAAGACTCTTCTCCTGGCTTTCAGACAGCCGCAGCGTGGAAGAAAGTGGGGCATCACTAAGTAAAATCCTAAATTCTTCTTAAATAATTACCGCCTGCCTTCCGTAAATGCCCAGCATCGCTCAAACATTTTTTTGATCTTTTAGGAAGCGAGGATATCGTCAACGGAAGCCAGAAGTTAATTCTGGGCCTAATCTGGCACTTGATCCTTCGCTACCAGATCGGCAAGACCAAGTTCCCGCCAAAGAAGTTGATGATCGCCTGGCTACAGGCTGTGATCCCAGAGTGCAACATCACAAACTTCACGTCTGATTGGAACGATGGTGTTGCTTTACAGTAAGTAGTTAAATGTATATATATATATATATATATATATATATATATATATATATATATATATATATATATATATATATATATATATATGTGTGGTGTGTGTGTGTGTGTGTGTGTGTGTGTGTGTGTGAAGAAATCAACACATTCCAGATATCTTTATTGCCGATTTAAACATAACCATAACGTATCTGGCATACCCGTAGATGCTCTGAAACGTAATCAGGTATTTGGCTTTTCAACTTCATAAAAAACTGGCCACTCCATAGTTTTACCGTTCATGTGCCAACAAAAACCAAACAGAATGCCCATGACTGTTACTTGTGAACATTTACATAGACTAGTCTCCTCAAAGTCTCAAGCATACACAATCATTAAGTGCATAAGACAGCCGTTAGAAATGCCAGCACAAACAGTCCGACACTAGAAACATAGGTCATCGTCGATGGAAGCAGCGGTTACAACAGATCAGTAGTTGCACACGCAATTAATCGCATATGGCATTGCGCGGACACCCCCCCCCCTCCCCCAAGAGCTTGGAAAATCCATGTACAGGAATCCCTAGTGAATTGCTCTACATCCAGAAGCAAATGTCCTACGATGTAGGTTGTTGTCTACACGTGACACTCCACTCCCAGATGTCCTGTCCTGAAGCTTCCACACTCCAAATCTTTTTCTGGAATCATCTTGAAATACAAATTCGACATCACAGCACTCAGGGGAAGCCTATAAGCCCCTTCTTCCTTCACCCCCTTCCAACAGCCAGCAAAGTCTCCCTACCCGTTGTTATCTTGTTAACTACTCGTCTTGCCCCCCCCCCCCCTCCAACCTCCAACGGGCAGCAAAGTATATATACTGATGATAATCTTTGTTATCTTGGCTAACTACTCGTCTTGCCCTCCACCTTTTCGAGTCTCGAGTCTCTTATAATTTCGCAGTCTTCCCTGACTCCAGCTCTTCCCTCTCCCTTCCATCTTCTCCTGGGTTTTACTTTATTGTCGCTATATGTTAACCCCAGATCTACACAACCCTCACAAATGTTGTTTCATCTGACATTGGCATTTCCACCAGCATCCGTTCAGAAACGGTCTTCAGAATGTCTGCATTAGCGTAGGTCCCACGACTGCATGCAGCCTATCTACCACCCCCTGAAATAATAGACTGCCCCGTGACCTGTGGATTTCCCCTGTTTGATGTAGAATATAAATAAAGCACCCAGAACTGTGTCATCTGCATATCTGAGTTCTGGGATAGTTCTAGCTCTAATTTTGAGTTTATCGAAGCTGTCACGCGGTTTTATCACAGGGGTGAATTGACATTGTTTCAAAACAGAGCCAGTAAACAGTTGGGATACAGAAACATATCATCACGGTCTGAGGAGAATGGTACCGCGAGGAGTGTCAAGGAGAGATTTGGCCGACGTCCAGCACTCAAGTGAAGCGCGAGACGGATGTTCATTCAAACTGTTACTGGTGGTATCGGAATTGGAACTCTGCGCTTGCTGCTGAAGATGGAGACGGAAAGCTTATGGGATCCTCCCGAGTGCTGTGGTGTGGATTCTTGATGCAAAACGCAACAACATTCAGATATTACATCGGCGATCCCGGCACACATACATGAATCTACGTCAATATTTTATTCTACGAGCCAAAAGTTAAAACACCCGAACGTGAAGACGTTGGACAATGTCAACACACGACAGGAGAGAAGACAAACGATATCCTCAGCTGTTGAATAAATCTGGATACGTCAGCGCTGTTCAAATTTGATCAAAGTTACTCAACAACTCCTCGTTTGTCTGTGTTCTGTTAGACTAGCAATTACTGGAGGCACAAAGGTGAACAAGTGCACCTGGATTGGGCAATTCGTACATACACTTATCTTCCGTGCAAAAAAAAAAAAAAAATGGTTAAACATTGTTGTATTGGAAACCTGAAGAATGGAAATGCACAGAATATTTACTTTTTTTTCTGCGTACGTCCGGTGGCAGATTGTGTTGTGGGTTTCAGCTAGGCTGCGATATCTGCACCTCTCGGCCTAACACATCCTTTTTTAAGAACACCCCCAATAAGCCGCCCTTTACCACACGTTCGTTAGGGGGGCAGTGATTAAAAATCTACATTTATTTGTGTGCTAAATTCCATACATATCATGAAAATCACCCCATCACCCCATCACGCGAGATTTCGTTCCGGCTACCATTCATACCGTGGAAATTTCGGCCGGCTGTCCTATGTTGTAGGGATGTTAGGATATGCGTTCTTCGCCTTAGCCGTCTGCACACGGCGTCTTCGCCCAGTGACCAGGCTTTCGGTCAAAATGGACGCTAGGCAGGGGCACTGTTTGGAGTCGAGGCAATTTTTTTATCTTCTGCCGGACGGATGGCTGATGCATTTTTGCTCTATTTGCAGACTAGATATAGTTTCGTCGCCCAGCTTCTGAGTTGAATGCATGGCGTGACACTGTGAGCTGCGAATTTCATTAGGAATGTTTTTTTTTCTACTGTGACCAACGTGGTGGTGTGAATAGTAGATTCAGAAAATGGCGCGATGCCTGTCGTCGCAATGTTGGTGGTGCCCGTATGTGATTAAAATTGATCGCGTGGGCAACTGCTGAACTTTTGGTGACTACTGCTACCATCAATGCACTTCTAATGTCGAACTCTTTGTGTTAGTACTTCGGATGGCTACCATATGCTTTAATGCGTGTGTATACTAGATATGCTGAGACAGCAGTCTTGTCAATCTTTCCACAAGGGACTGTGATAAACATTCTGTGTGTTTTTCGTTGGCACAGGAGCGGAGCAAAGATGGAGTGACCCCTTTGCTATGAAGTTGAAACTAAGACACACAGCGTGCGGAAAAGGGCTCCCGTTCTTTCGAGGGTCGACACGAAAGTTTGGAGCTCTCCTTCGTGGCAGGAATTGAAAGACTTTTTTGTTTTGCGCGAGTGAGTTTTCCGCTAACTTTTCTGGTCACTGACAACTAGGTCTCATGTGCAACCGTCACTAGTTTGAGAACTGGTTACATTGTTTAGCTGGTCCTGGATCAAGTCACCAAGTCAGGCCGCAGTGATAGCGATGAGGAAAGAATGCACAGTACTAACGCAAACGCAAGTAACGCAAAATAAAACGTGCTGGCCGCTCACAGCGGGGAATATAGAATGCTTATAGTGTTGAAAATAACACCCCTAGAACATAGGACCGCCTGTGGAAAATCTCGCGCCCGATGTGATTGTTGGGATTTCCGTGATATGTACCCTATATTTATTTCAACGTAGTCGTATCATCATCTTCTTCTGAACATCGTCATAACTCTTCAAATCCCGAAACCCTGCCGGAATTTCCTGCGACTATTTCCTATACAGCCATTGGCGCCAGTTTCTCCTGTGAAGCCTTCCATAAATGCACATTGGTTGTTCTCTTTTGTTTCGCCTATCTCGGGGCCTCCAAGATTTTGTGGGAGGGGTGGGGGGTGGATTTCGGGAAAGTCCAGTATCATTGGGGAGGGGGGAGGGGTTGGTTAGTGTCAGTCGGTGTTCCTTTCACATTCCAACACCCCTATACCGTTGGACTTTCCCTTGAATTCGGCACTAAATCTGGATACCTGAGATCGGGTACAATAAAAGAAACGGGCCTATTTCTCTTTTATGTAGGCTAGCTGGCGATCTTATGTAGGGCTTGGACGGGTGGTTAGGGGTTATGTGTAATTTCCGAGGGGGGGGGGGAGGGAGGGGGCTTGGTGTAGCCGCTAGACGCTCTCCTGCGGATCGGAAGGTCGCGGGTTCGGGTCCTACCAGGTACAGTTTTGGGAAGTAAAGGCGACCGGCGTGATGTTGACCACATCACCCACCTAGTGCCGACTGGTCTTGAAAATATAAGTAAAAGTAAGTAAAGGACCCTGTTCCACACCTTTAGGTGTCTAGGGCATATAGGGCTAGACTTATATCGGCACTCGGTAAATGATGTGGTCAACATCACGCCGGTCGCCTTTACTTCCCATAACTGTACCTGGTAGACATATAAGGCTGAGTGCACCTGGGAGCCAAGGTCATTTTTGAACGAAAGAAAAAACCTGAACCCACGACCTTACGATCTACTATCAAGCGTCTAGCGGCTGCACCACTTGGTCCCGTACAGTTTATTTCTGGGGACCCACAAAACCATGCCCGTCTCCAGCTAACGCCATCAGCCACAGGGCCCCACAGCCCCCACGGCCCCATGCACACAGCGGTTAGGAAGTCACCCGGTGCTCCAGAGTGAGTTGGTTTGAATGTGTGGTTAGGTGTAAGTAGTAACAGTAAAGAACCCTCTTGCACGCCTTTAGATGTTTTAGGTATATAGGGCTAGACCTGCACTGTATAGACCAAACAGCACTTGGTGGGTGATGTGGTCAGCATGACGCCGGCCACGTTTACTTCCCAGGTCGGAACCTGGTAATCACTCAAGGCTAGGTCGACCTGTGAGCCAATGTCATTTTTGAAAAAAGTCTGGCCCCCCTTCAGGACCCGAACCTACGACCTTCAGATCCGCCACGATGACTCTCCCTTTAAAATATAGGTCCAGCCCTATTTGCCCAATGAGGGTAAAGGCGTGGAAAAGGGTCCTTAACTATTTGTTTTTTTTTCCCCAACCGCCTATTGAAAGCTAGCCACACTGGACTACTTTCGACTTCTTTACCGTCTTGTGGTGGCTCTAGTAAAACTGTGCTATATAGCTCTACGATTATACGCGAATTCCCAGAACTGTTTCCGTTTAATTCTCATCATTGAGATGTTAATCGTACAGAATGTGGGAGGAAAAAAAGGGGGGGGGGGGGGCCACGCTAAAGTATGGCATAGCTACCAAGCTCGAGCACGCACGCACGCACCCACACACAAACACACACACACACACGCAGACGCGCATGTAAACATGTGGATGCGGCGAGACAAGAACACTGGCCTGATCCATGAGACTGATAATGGTATGAAATGAAAACAAGAAAAAAAAAAAACCTTGGTTG